CACCACCCTGTACTCCAGGCATGTGCTGTCCCATGGCCATCTGTCATCTCTGCTTGGATGTCTCACACAGCTGAGACAGATAATATGAATTCCTTCCTGCCCCAGTGAGAGCTTCTTGGGCTTTATCAGTGACACCGGCATTCAGTCAACTGCTCGGGCTATCACCGAGTCGCGTTTGGATCACCTCTTTCCTCACACCTCACCTCTAACCCTTAGTGCCTCCCACTTCCTGGGCTCCAGTGTGTCCCCAACACTCCACTTCCTCCACATCCATCTCTACTGTCCCAGCTCTGGCCCACCATGTCTAATATTCTCTCCCAGGCTCTCTTCTACTCCCCTGTTCCTGTCAGTGCAACCCTCACTCCTTAGCCCGACTCATGTTTCCAGAGTAAATCAGGTGCGAGCCATACACTGTGAGTACCCGTTGCCTTCAGAGTAAACTCCAAACTCTCCCGGGATCTAGGCGCCCTCCTCTGAGGACTCCCCGCTCTTCTGTCTCCTTATCCACAGTGCCTTCTCTCTGTCCCTTCCTCAGTCTGCTTTTGTTCCTACTTCGGAATCTTCCTTCTGCTTGGGGTGCTCGTGGCCCTAGTCTTTGAACAGCTGCCTCTTCTCGTTACATGGCTATGACCCCAACTTAAACTCACCTCCATAGAAAAACACCTCCCTGCTTTGACAGGTATCTCTTGGTCAATGTTTTTTTTTTTAAAGATTTATTTATTTTTATTCTATGTTTTGCCTGGATATATTTCTGTGCACCAGGTCTATGTCCCTGGAGGCCAGAGGGGGGCATTAGATTTCCTGGAACTAGAGTTACAGATGGTTGTGAGCTGCCATGTGAGTGCAGAGAATTGAACCCATGTCCTCTGGAAGAGCAGCAAGCCCTCTTAACCACTGAGCCGTCTCTCCAGTTCCTCCCCAGCAATCCTGGTAGCTCGTTCTCAGATCTGAATCTTCCCTGAGCATTGTGTACTGCAGATGCTAGCAACAATCTCCTGCTGCTGAAATATCCGTTCCTCGAGGGCAAGGACCCTCCTTCAGCTCTCTCTGCCATGCTCGGCCGGCATCTTGTAGCAGAAAGCACTGTGATGAGCTGGACTTTGACAGCTCTGAGATGATGGAAAAACATCTGTGTGGTGTGTCACACAGTGCTTATCAGACACTTATTCCTGTAGAGGCCACTCTTATCAGACTGCCTTCTTTCAGCTGCTGCTGAGTTTTATGACAAGAGCCGGCTACCCGGACCAGGTCAAAGGCCTTCCTCTTGGCTTCTCCAGTGCCGAGGTGTCCCAATTGATCTTCAACAGATCAAAGGCCCTACCCAGTGCCCTGCTCCTTGGAATCTGCTCTCTGGTCAGCCGGCCCTGATTTCACCTCGTTGGTTCACTTTCTGGGTGACTCTTCCTTCAACCAGACTCTTCCTTCACTTATCCTAGCTGCTATTCCCCGGAAATGTCACAGGCAGGGCCATCTCATCTTTTATGCAAATAATACGTGGTAGAGTAGTATCACATAAGAGCTCCAAGTAAAGCTCTGTCTTTAAGCAGAAGGCATCTATATGTGGTAGAGTAGTATCACATAAGAGCTCCAAGTAAAGCTCTGTCTTTAAGCAGAAGGCATCTATATGTGGTAGAGTAGTATCACATAAGAGCTCCAAGTAAAGCTCTGTCTTTAAGCAGAAGGCATCTATATGCTGTCTTCCTGCAGACGGAAGACCTGGGCATGAGCTGGGCCTGCCACTCCTGAAAGCTTCCCACGGAGTCGAAGAGCAACACTGAGCAGGCCATTAGTTCTCCGTGCTCCCAGCATCACTCGTTTATTCCATCTGAGGTTTTCCAGAGCCGGGGGTGGTAGTAGCATAAGCCTGTCATCCTGTTACTTAAGAAACAGAGGAAGGACAATTAGGAGCTCAAGACCAGCCCTGGCTACACAGTGAGTTAAAGGCCAACCTCATCTACATGACCCTGCCTCAAAACATTAAAATAAAATCAATGAAGTAAAAAGAAACAAAGTTTTTCTAGCCCTTCCACATTGTGGCCCCCGACCCATTCCACAGTTTCCAGCCTCACATCCGGGGACAGAGGTGCGGGATCAGGAACGCTGAATGTAGCTTTTCCTCTGAGTCATACACTCGGTAGACAATGTTTTCTTCAAGATCTCCCTTGTCATTTCCTTTTTCTTTAACTACAAAAAGTTACCCTGATAGTCAGGTGAATTCCTGAGCAGTGAGTCTGGGGCCCAGGGGTTCCTGCTCTAACCTCACATAGTGGCAGAATCTACTTGTGGTTGTAGAGACATAAAGCTTGTTTCTCTAGAGAAGTTCCTGGTCTGACCTCCAAGAGAAATTTTATTTCCACAAGAACATAGAGTCTACGAGGACAGGGACCTTGTTTGGGCAATCCTATGTCCTCAGTCCTCAGCATAGGGACACACTCAGTGACTGAATTCATTCATTAGTGGAACACTTTCAAGTGACATCAAGTGACAAGAGAAAGGAGAGAAAAGGTAGCCAGAAGACATTTGACTACAAGGAACAGAACTAACATAGTCACCTAGTACCTACAAAGAGACAGCCCAATTTAGACAGCTCAGGCTTTTGCCCAAGCCACCATTTAGGACCTGGGTTTCTTTGTTTGGAGTGTCTGTGCATTAACTAGGTTGATCCTCTGGTGATGGAGTTAGTGGTTCTACCAGTGGGTAGCCCAAATCACCACTAGAGTGGTTCTCTAGAGAGATGAGGCCTGGATATTGGTGGTTCTAAAGAGCCACAACAGGGGTTCCATTGCTCGGCCAGCACGGCAGGCCTCACTGCCAGCTGAGCAGCCCTATCCACAGCAGTCACGTGGGAACTAGCATGGTCCCTGAAGCATCTAGAGCAAATGTCAATGAAGGGATTTTGACAGATGTCCAGGGAATTCAGAGGAAAAGCTCCCCACTGGGTGAATACAGAGGAAGGAGCCTGGGAGACAGCAGGACCTAGAGGTGAGTAAGACTTCAGAAGACAAGCCAGAAGACAGCAGGAGCCGGGAAGGAAGAGATGGGACATTTGTCATCTTTGTCAGAGGACAAGCTGATCTCTGGCTTATTGGCATATTGATTCCTGGGAAAGGGAAGTTTGCTCATCTTGAACCAACAACTGGAGGAACCGGGGTTCGTTTCCAGAGCCCAGTGACTCCGCGTCCTCTGAGATTCCCGGTGCTTTGCCACACTGCTTGCTGTGCTTCCTCTTTGAGCACCAGGGGATTTTAAAAGACAACATGGGGCTTTCACACACTTGTGTTCCCAAAATCTCACCCACCAGGTGGAAAAACCCTGTGAGGTCACCTCTGCATGCAACCCAGCCCCTTCTCAGACCAGAAGGCATGACCACTCTTCCTCAACGTCAACAAAGACAGTCAAAATCAGCAGGCAGCAGCAGCGATTAGGAAGGTGCCAGGAAGAGCCCGGGGGTGCTGGGCATCAGTGCACGGGTCAGTGACCGGACTCCATTTTCGGATTCAGTTAGTTCTGACTTGGATCGAAGATCCCTTCAGAGGGTGAGCATGCCAACCACCAGGCAGGGATCAGCTTTGCCAATAACATAGAAAATGATTCATCCAGCCCTGGCTCAGTCAGCCAGGCTGGGACAAATGTCACCCACTCATTTTGATGGATGCACCCCATTCATAGAAATATGTGGACAGATAATGATTTTTTTGAGCTCAGACATACTCACTGTTCTTGGCAACTGACTTGCTTCCTTGGCTTAGCCATGTTGGCGCTCCTGCCATGGCTAATAAACCATGAAGGGGTCTCCCTGCAGCTACAAAAGACAGGAGCTGACAACAGGCACTCCATGTGTGGCCTGGGCCAAACTTGCCAGAGCAGTGGTTCTCAACCTGTGGGGTCACGACCCCCATGGGGGTTTGTAGTAGAGGCTGCGGGCTGTGTTCCTGCCACCCCAGCTCCTGGTCGCCTGGCTAGCTTATGCCCCGAAATAACAACTCACAAACTGTATTCTTTTAAACACTGCTTGGCCCATTATATCTAGCCTCTTCTCGGCTAACTCTCGCACCTGGACTAGCCCATTTCTAATAATGTGTGTAGCACCCCAAGGTGCGCCTACCGGGAAGATTCTAGCCTATGTCCATCCTGGGTCGGAGCTTCATCGCATCTGCCCCAGAGAGCAGCGGCCTCGCATCTGAGTTCAGTTCCCTTCTTCCCAGCATTCTGTTTTGTTTACTCCACCCACCTATGTTCTAACCTATCAGACCAAGCAGTATCTTTATTACTTAACCAATGACCTTCCTCCATCAGGGGTTGTCGAATAATCTTTTTATAGGGGTCACCTAAGACCATCTGCATATCAGATATTTACATTATGATTCATAACAATAGCAAAATTAGTTATGAAGTAGCAACTAGAATAATTTTGTGGTTGGGAGTCACCACAACATGAGGCACTGTATTAAAGGGTCACAGCATTAGCAAGATTGAGAACCACCAACATAAAGAAATAGTGTCTCTCTGCTATAGAGATTTGTGTTGGTATGGATCTTGGTTTGTTGATACAAATTTAAGGTCAATTTTGTTATACTGTGTATATGTTATTTCTGATCTTAATTAAGGTATTGTGTCCGTCCAGCTTATTTAAAAATGTAATGTATAATTAAGAAATATAGGTTAATAGATAATCATCTATAATAGTTAAGCTTGTAGTCATGTTAATTAGATATTCTAGGTGTACAGAGATGTACATTTCAGATGGATAGGCATTCTTCCAACATTTCAAAGACTGCAGAATATGGCATTTAAATGTTTAAGAACTTAGGACTCTTCATGACAATGAGACACATCTGCTTCTGGCAGCACCAATCTACTTCAAGAGGATGATGGGCATCAAAGAGGTTCCTTATGGAGTTGGTTAGCCATTTGGGCAAGAAACTGCTCTTGCCTGGACTGCTTGATGGTATGCTGTATGAACTAGACATGCTGGACCCACAGATAGATGACTGCTGAACTTGCCTGAAGGTTAGATGATCCTTTGTGGTTCCTGCTTCATGAAAGAATCTACCAGACATTCTGCAAGACAAAGAAGAAAGTGACTGACAAATTGCTAATATAGGTGGAACTGTCTTTGAAATTTCCTGCTTCATGGAAAAATCTGCTGGCTACAATGGGCCTGTAGGCTGAAGATGGATGCCCCAATGGTACAGAAGAACTTTGGGTGACTGTCTAGGCAGCAAGATATCTCTGTCAATTCTAGATTTTTGGAAGTTGCTTACAATGTTCTTCCTGTTTACTTAGGTAATGTTATATTCTTCTGGAGTCTTTGATGGAGTTGAAGAATATGTAGTTATAGTTTTCCTTAGCCACGATAAAAGATAAAGTAGATATAAATATTGTAACTGTAATTCTTGCTCGATAACTGTTTTGTTATATGTAATTACTATGTAGAGTTAAAACCTTCCTTTTTATTTAAACAGAAAAGGGGAGGTGATGTGGGATTCCCCTCTGTATGCTGTGAATAGCATTGGTTAATAAAGAAACTGTTTTAGGCCTGTGATATGGTAGAGCTAAGAGGGGAAAACTAAACTGAATACTGGGAGAAACAAGGCGGAGTCAGGGAGAAGCCATGAGACAGACATGCCAAAACTTTGCTGGTAAGCTACTGCCACATGGCCATACACAGATTAATGGAGATGGGTTAGTTTAGGATATAAGAATTAGCCGGGGGGAGGGGGGGAAGAATTAGCCAGAAATACACTTAGGCTATTGGTCAAACAGTATTGCAAATAATATAGTTTCTGTGTGGTTATTTCGGGAGTCTGGGCAGCCAGGAACACACAAGCGGACTCCTACTACATCTCACATTTCAAGACCCTTGCTTGCAGTATTTGTGAAGTAAGAACTCTGAGCTAGTCAAAAGAAAACTGCAGAGAGCATGGTGGTGATGATTAGCTTCTGAAACAAAAAGAAATGATGTATTTTTCAAGTAAGGGCTATCTATACCACAACTTTTGCAAGAGGATGGCTCTCACCCAGGACAGTGGGGAAAAAGGAAAGAATCAAAGAACGTCCTAAGCACATGTGCAAGGCTCCTCTCTGTAGGTTGCAGGCTCAGGTTTCTTTTGGTTTTCTCACCAGGATATTTTAATCTGGGAAGGATTACTGTAGCAGAACATAGTGGCTAAGAAATGGATAGGTTCCTTATAGGTGGCCAGTTCCAGCTCTGTTTGACTCAGGCATTCACATGCTCAGCAAGCTCCATCACCTTCTCTTTGCCATGTTTGGAAGCACTACAGATGAATAACGACCTAAAGGAAAACCACTGGGGAAAGGACAAGTGAACACCAGACGCAGCAGAAATGAGCTAGTACAGGCTAACAGCCTCACCAAGGAGCAACAGGGAGGACATGAAGCTCCAGGGTGACACCTCAGGGGTATTTTCCAAAATGACGTTCTTGAGCTCAAGGTTGAGGGATGAGTACCAATTCATCAGAAAAGCAAGAGCAGAAGAAAAACTGATCAACATTAGCATTAGGGGCGATGCCCCTTCAGAAGCCCCAGCAGTGCGACTGGCTAAGGCTGGGAATACTGGCAGGGCTCTGAGCTGGAAGAACCTTCCATGGCAGCTAAACTGACAAAACTTATTTATTTTTAAGTTTATTTTTGCTTCTAGAACTTTTCCTTTTCTTTTCTTTAAGAGTCTGATCTTCTATTGAAGTTCCCTTCTTTAGTGGCGATGAACATAATTTTGTTCATGTCCTTGAGCAGAATTACTGTGGTTATTTTACTTACATATTTATTTATTTATTTATTTATTTATTTATTTATTTATTTATTTAGAGACAGGGTTTCTCTGTGTAGCCTTGGCTATCCTGAAACTCAGTCTGTAAAGCAAGCTGGCCTCAAACTCATAAGAGATCCTCCTGTCTCTTCCACAAAAGAGCTGGGATTAAAGGCATGCACCTCCACTACCTGGTTTACTTTAGTTATTTTAAAATAATTCTAAACCAGGTGGTGGTGGTTCATGCCTTTAATCCTAGGACTCAGGAGGCAGAGGCAGGAAAATCTCTGAGTTCAAGGGCAACCTGGTTTTGTTGGGATTTTGTTTGTTTGTTTGTTTTTTGCTTAATTCTTTTGGCGGGGCCACCATCCAGCTCCCAAATAAATCACACACAGAGTCTTATTATTTCTTATAAATGTCCAGCGTTAGCCTGGCTTGTTTCTTGCCAGCGTTTCTTATCTTAAATGACCCCATCTACCTTTGCCTCTAGGTTTTTTCCTTTTCTTACTTCTGTAATCTTACTTTCACTCTTACTCCACGACTAGTTGTTTGGCTAGGTGGCTGGGTGGCTGGCCCCTTCTTTTCTCACTCCTTCTCTTGCTCCTTCTTCTCTCCTCCCTGATTTTTCCTCTTCTTTATTCCTTCTGCCTGCCAGCCCCGCCTATCCTTTCTCCTGCCTTGCTACTGGCTGTTCAGCTCTTAATTATTCCAATCAGATGTTTTAGGCAGGCAAAGTAACACAGCTTCACAGAGTTAAACAAATGCAACCACAAAAGAATGCAGCACATCGTTGCATCATTAAACAAATGCCCCACAGCATAAACAGATATAGCACATCTTGTAATAATATTCTACATCGCTGGTCTACAGAGTGAGTTCCAGGACAGCCTGGGCTACACAGAAAAACCCTGTCACAAAACAGTAACAACAACAAAAAGAGTTGATCTCGACTGGTTTCCTTTCCTCTTGTCTATAACTGTGTCACTGTTTTCTTTCTCAGAGTGTCCAGGGACTGGGATTTCCACATCATGACTAATATATAGACCATAGTTCGGTTACATTCTTCTGAAGAGCTTCAAATTTGTTTTACTGAACAGTTGATGCTGGGATTAGGTGATGCCCATGTTATACATACGACGGCTTTCTAGGCTGTGCCCTGCCCTAAAGCCTCCATCTTATAGGCAGCTTTTGATGCCACTTCAGGCGAGAAGGGTGACTGAAGCCCCAGGTGGACCCGGAAACTGCACCATCTGCCATGTGCCGCCAAGCAGGCAAGGGTGATAAATGACTCGTTCCTGGGAGTAGAAAGGGTGCCACCAGATGAACTGAGACTGTAGGCACACCACGAGTCTATTAAAATCATATCTTGAAATTTATTAGATGTAACACCAAGAAAAGTCTCAGTAACTCTGTCACCTGGGCCCCATAAAGTGACAGACACCGAACCCTGCAAGAGCAGATTCCCCGCCAACCAACCTCCTGATGTAGTACCTATGTGTGCATCAGAGACTGAGGACTCCCTGATTGTTTCTGAGGCTTTGGCTCAGCTCAGTCTCCGGATGGAATTAAAGATATGCGCCACCATATCTGACCCAGTTAGTAATTTTTATTACAAATCTATTTCATGATTCGACTTATCTTCAACAATTACTTTTGTTTCTTATTTATTTTTTGTGTGTATGTGTATGTGCCTGTGCACATGGGTAAAGGCCAGCATAGCATGCTGGGTTATTTGACACCGGAACTCTAGAGCTCACAGGTTTGCAGCTAAGCTGGTGGCCAGCAAGGCCCAGTGATCTCACCTCTTGCTTTCTTCCCTCACCCCCATTGCTGGGGTCCAGATGTATATGGCCATGTGGACACTGAAGATCCAAACTCGGATCTTTGTGCTGGCACAGTGAGCACTTTCACCCACTGAGCATCTCTTCAGCCTTCTGTAATAACTTTGTAATGGTGTTTGGTTTGAATGAGAGTTCAATACAGCCATTATCTCAGTCTGTTTTTGCGGCTACCTAGCTCAATAATGCAAACTGGGTGATTACGAAGGGTGACGGCTTTTTAAACTCACGGTTATGGAGGGTGGGAGGTCCAACTTTAAGGGCCTGAGTAGGGCTTCTGGTTGGCGTGCAGCAGGCAGCACACGGTGAGAAGGCTCATCCAACAGAGAGGACCAAATTGGCTTCTACAACAGATCAAGCTGTAGTGCTGTTTCATTTGTATTTTAATAAATAAAGCTTGCCTGAAGATCAGAGAGTAACACAGCCCCACTGATCAGCCTTACAGACCAGGCAGCGGTGACACACACCTTTAATCCCAGTAGTCACACTAGTTTGCCATAGAAACTGGGTGATAGTGACACACACCTTTAATCCCAGTAGTCACACTAGTTTGCCATAGAAACTGGGTGATAGTGGTACACACCTTTAATCCCAGCACTATAGAGGAATATAAAACGGGAGGAGACAGCTCTCAGACACAGTCTCATTCTGAGATTCCTGGAGGCAGGATCGCCATTTCAGACTGAAGTAAAGGTAAGAGCCAGTGGCTGTTTTGTTTTTCTAACTTTCAGGTTGAACCCCAATTTCTGACTCTGGGCTTTTATTTTTCTGCTACACCAAGTGAAGAGAGAATTTAGTACTTCAATAATTCCCAAGGGTAGAGACCTCAGGACCCAGTCATCATCTCAGGGTCATCTGGCCCCACTTCTTAACAACTTACACTGGAATTAAATGTGAGCATAGCTTTCAGTGGGGGCATTCGAACCACGCCAGTCCTACGTTTTCAACAATTTCAAGGGTGAGTCGGCATAATTTCAGGCGGGTGTTGGAGAGGGAAGTGCATCTACAGAAATTCTTTTCTCTGCCAAGAACTGAAGGCAACGTGTAGGAGACAGCCGGAGTTCTGAGGGGCATCAACAGTGACCACACCAGATGCCTACACCTGGGAGCGGATGGGTCAGTGGCTGTGGAGGGAGATAGGATTTCGTGGGTGGAGTCTGTCTTACTGGAATTCACTAGCAGAGGAATAACAAAAGCCAGGCTTGTCGTGCTGGCCTAGAAAGTCAGAAGGAAGAGAGGGGGTAGGAATGAGTAATTATGGGTTGGATCCTTCAGGGAAGACAACAAAAAGCCTTTCTATAAACTCAAGAATCACAGTCTTAGAGGTGGTAACAAGGACATCACGGAGGAAACACAGTCTTACTGAAGCTACAGTCTCCCTGCTGAAGTGCTCGGTGCTAGTGAGAGGAGGAATCCACGCTAGGACTGGAGACTCCATCCACTGTGCTGTTCTGTACTAGCTGAGACTGGCAACATGTGTTTCTTTGATCATAAAATAGAGATTTGGAAGCCAGGTGCTGGTGGCACATGCCTTTAATCCCAGCACTTGGGAGGCAGAGGCAGGCGGATCTCTGTGAGTTCAAGGCTAGCCTGGTCTACAAGAGCTACAGAGAAACCCTGTCTTGAAAAAAGAAACACCGAAAACAAAAAAATAGAGATTTGGTGATCACATGTGATGGCCCATGCCTATCGTCCTAGCACTTGGGAGACCGAGGATCAAAAATTCAAGAGAGAGAGAAAGAGAGAGAGAGAGAGAGAGAAAGAGAGAGAGAGAGAGAGAGAGAGAGAGAGAGAGAGAGAGAGAGAGAAAAGCAAAGAAGACTAGCTTGGGCTACGTAATATGACTGTCTTAAAAATATATATAATTTGAAATATTATATAACATAATGTCTTAAAATTTTATATTGAAAATTATATGTAATAATCAAAAAACAATATAGAGGCTGGAGAGATGGCTCAGAGGTTAAGAGCACAGAAGTCTTGAGTTCAATTTCCAGCAACTATGCTGTGGCTCACAACCATCTTATGAGCTGGTGCCCTCTTCTGGCCTGCAGGGATACATGCAGGCGGAACACTTGTATACATAATAAATAAGGGGCATGCTGAAACTGAAAAAAATGAAAATCAGGAAAAGTATCAGTGGTAACAGGAAAAAACAAGACACCAAGGCCAAACAAAAGTTTTAAAATCTTTTAAATAAATGTTCAGTCACGCATTTACTACCTGCGAAGAAGGTGCTTTCAGAAAAACAGCATCGGTCCCTGCCCTCTTCAGAACATGAGACTCACTCTCAGCCTTCAGTGTGCCGGAGTAAACAACCCCCAGTCATAGACTGGGCGGAGGGCACATGGATTTAATCCTAGCACTCAGTCAGGCAGATCTCTGTGAGTTCAAAGCCAGCTTGGTTTACATGAGTTCCAGGCCAGCCAGGGCTACACATTAAAGCCCCCGACTCAAAAGAACAAAACAAAGCAAAAATGGTAATCACCAATTACGTGTAAAAATAAGAAAATTCTTCAACAAAGGAAATGTTCAGTTTTCACAGCTTATGCATAAGCAAGCTGTACCACACAGGCACAGACCAGAGAGCGCTGTGCAGACGGCATCTGCAGCAAGTGCACAGCCATTCCCCATTCGCTTGAACTCAATGAAAACATGACCAAAGGGAGGTGTCTTTCACAGTTCCTTAAAAAAATGTATTAATTATATGAACGGGGTATGGGCACATAAGTGTAGGTGCCAGAGCAGACGGTACAGGGCGTCAGGGAGTTACAGATGGTTGGGAGCTGCCCACCTTTGGTGCAGGGGAACTGAACTCGGGTCCTTACCAAGAGACATGACTCCTGACTGTGGGCCATCCCTCTAGCTCCAGATGTCACCATTTCTAATGTGGGGAACTTCTGCAGCAAAACTCACATCAGTGAATGGCTCTCCTGCCTACAGTGGTGTACACCATGGTCTATGGCCCAAACTCTCCTTCAGTAAGTGACTTGGGTTTTGGAGCAGCAGGAGAGCTGGTTCTTCTCAGGGTGAGGGAGGGCACCAGCACCAGAACTCCCCCCCCATGGGATTGCCTAGGGCTAGAGCAACTGTCCCCAGCTGTTGGGAGCAGTGAGACCCCAGATCCTGAATTTCTTGTAATCCCCTGATCTGAGTGCCTACAGCTGCTCTGAGCACGAGACCTTCAGGAGTTCCTGATGGCAGGAGAGTGGTTTCTGGTGGGTTTGGCTGGGGCATGGCTATCTCTATATAATCTGCCCCTGAACACAATAAAGGGGGCATTCTTGGGGAATTCAAGGATGACCGTGTCGCTGTCTCTCCTCTGTCTGTGTGTGTATGTGTATTTTAACCTCCAGCTCCCTTGCCCAAAGCTTGCGAAGTGGGTGCCAGCGCACAGAGCACAGACACTGGGGTGTGGTGCGCGCGGCACCCAGCCCCCCAGTTCACTCTCCAGTGACTTTGCACGGAAACCTGAGTCATCTGCAAAATGCACCGCCAGGACCACAGAGTGCTTCAGGAGCAGCAGTGGGTGTGTGTTAAATGCACTAGATGTACTAGGGATCAAACAAAGCCAGCCACATTTCATATGTGTGTGTGTGTGTTTGAGACAGGGTTTCTCTGTATAGTCTTAGCTGTCCTGAAACTCCCTGTGTAGACCAGGCTAGCCTTGAACTCACAGAGATCACCTGCCTCTGCGCCCCTCCCCCCAAGTGCTGGGATTAAAGGCTTGCGCCACCACCACCACCACCGCCTGGCTCCTATGTACATTTTAACACACATGGTGATCTGAAAGGTTTCATGACAGAATTCATAAAATGTATTGAAGAATCACAACAAGCACACATAAAAAGCTGTGCATTAAACCGCAATCAGAGCTGAGTGCAGAGGGTGTGTTGCCCTTGTCATTTGGCTACTCGTTTATTACTATTATTAGGTTACAGTAGGCTTATTTACTTTTCTTTCCTCATCTTCCCCCAAACTTCCCTTTGGCAATGTTTCTGCACCATGGTTCCATTACTGTGAAAAAGTGTTAAACAAGCTAAAAAAAAAAAAAAAAAAAAAAGAAAAATTAGATGATGCCTAGATCTTGACTGCCACCTAGTGGAATTTTTGAGTATTAGTGTATCAGTAATTGTTTTATTTTCAGCAAAGTAGTATAAAATATGGCCACATCAAATTCTGGGCTACTGTTTCCCAAAATGTGAAACTCTCGAGTTCATTTTGGTCTTTGTAAAAATGACAGCTTCTATGGCCTTGGGAGATCGCTCAGTGCGGCGGCCCTCAACCTTTCTATGCTGCGGCAGTTAATACAGGTCCTCATGTATTAACTGATCCCAACCGGAAAGTTATTTTCATTGCTATTTTTTAACTGAAATTTTGCTACTGTTATGAACTGTAATGTAAATATCTTATATGGTTGAGAACCACTGGTTTGGTAGGTAAATCGTTTGTCCTGAAAATACAATGGCCAGAATTCAAATTCCTAGAACCCATGTGGAAGATGGGCACGGCAGTAAGTCTGCCATCCTAATACTTCTCTAGCAAGATGGGAACCAGGATGGGAAAATCTCAGACTTTATCAAGCCATCCAGGAAGACTGTTGCTTGCCTTAGTGAACAAGACTTTCTCAAACATAGCCAGAGGCCAGGACTAATGCCTGAGGTCCTTCTGCTCTCCCTGAGTATGCTATTCTGTATATTCCTACCTTTCCACCCAAACACATGTTTGAACAGTAACACGTGTGTGCACACACACAAATTAAAAAACAAGTGGTTCCCCTTTCCCTATCTATGTGTGGGAACACATACCCACTGTAATTTATGGTTGATTGGTTCAAATAACCCTAAAAATAGATTGTTCTATTATATAAATGCAGTAATTTTTTTTTTCTTTTCAGAGACAGGGTTTCTGTATGTAGTTTTGGAGTCTGTCCTGGAACTCACTCTGTAGACCAGGCTGGCCTTGAACTCTAGATCCACCTGCTTAAGAATCTCAGAAAGCGATGAAAGGAGACAAGAGACAGAGACAGAGACCCACATTGGAGCACCAGACTGAAATCTCAAGGTCCAAATCAGGAGCAGAAGGAGAGAGAGCACTAGCAAGGAACTCAGGACCGCGAGGGGTGCACCCACACACTGAGACAATGGGGATGTTCTATCGGGAACTCACCAAGGCCAGCTGGCCTGGGTCTGAAAAAGCCTGGGTTAAAACCAGTCTCGCTGAACATAGCGGACAATGAGGACTACTGAGACCTCAAGAACAATGGCGATGGGTTTTTGATCCTACTGCACCTATTGGTTTTGTGGGAGCCTAGGCAGTTTGGATGCTCACCTCACTAGATCTGGATGGAGGTGGGTGGTCCTTGGACTTCCCACAGGGCAGGGAACCCTGATTGCTCTTTGGGCTGAGGAGGGAGGGGGGCTTGGCTGGGGGAGGGGGAGGGAAAGGGGAGGTGGCAGTGGGGAAGAGACAGAAATCTTAAATAAATAAATAAAAAGAAGGAAAAAAAAAGAATCTCAGAAAGCTAAGAAATGGGCTGGGTCCTGTCATTAACGCTACAGCTTTAATCCTACCCATATTGCTTAGCAAATTAAAGACTCATGTGGTCTGAAAAAGAGAAAGATCTACAGTAAAGAGGGAATCAAAGACAAAAAAAAAACCCTCTAAATGGTTTACTGTGTGTTTAAAAATATGTGCAGGCATGGGAGAGAAAAGAAAAAGGTTAAAAAGTCTTAAAAAAAGGGAGTAGTTGGGTGTAGTAGAACACATCTTTAATCCCAACACTTGGAAGACAGAGGCAGGCAGACGATGGAAAACATTTTTCATTAAAACCACTTTACCCTCGCCAGGCGGTGGTGGCGCTCGCCTCTATCCCAGCACTCAGGAGGCGGAGTTTCAGAACAGCCAGGGCTACACTGAGAAACTGTCTCAAAAATCAAAACAACAAAGAACCCCACATGACTCTTGAATAATTTGAGTCAAGAGAACGTCCACATTCTAGATGTGTGGTTCTTTCCTCACGGACATTCAACATATTCCTTTATGCTTCTATTTCCTTTAAACTAAAAGACTTGATCATATTCCTTCACGGGTGACAGCCACTCATGTTCAATCAGTCAAGGGGGTCACAAAGTCAGGTTGTCTCACAATCAGTGGTGCTGCAGTTGACCACTGGGTAAATAGGTGGACGCCAAATTTCATCATTGAAATTATTAATCGTCCCTGAGATTTGATGCTTCATACTTGTGTGCGATACCTTGACCCTGTAAACACCCCCTTTCTCCACGTGGCTTTTAGCGTCTATGGATATTGTCTAAGCACCTCAAACGGTCATTTTTCCCATGTCATCGCTCCAATGCCCTTTACTGCTATATTTATCTTCTGTACAACAAGACAAAGCTTCCCTTCTCTTGACTTACAGGGTCTTCAGGCAGCCCTGCCTGGCCTGGCCTGGCACTCGCTAGGCGGACCAGACTGGCCTCAGATTCACATCCGCCTGCCTCTTGCCTCCCCGGGCTGGGAGTGAAGTCGCGTCGTCACGCCCGACCCGCTCTCGGTACTAAACCCCTTCCCCATCGCTGCTGGCCGGAAAGGCTCGCGAGTCTACGCCCCAACACTAGCGAGCTACTCGCCGCTCCCACCACAAGGCGGAACTGACGTAAGACGAGCCGGCACTCTGCGCCTGGCGCAGCCCAAACACGTCACTTCCTGCCCATTAGGCCCGACCCACTCCGCCTTCCGAGGCCGCAGACGCCGGCCGCTTAGAGGACGGCGGGAGTCATGTGACCCGAGCGCATGTTCGCGAGAGTTTGTTGGCCTCGCGAGATCTCCGTCGCCTTGTCTATTCCTCTTGCCTGAGCCCGGCTTTTCTCCCCTCCCCCCCCTCGGCGCCGGCGGAGTTTTTCCTTTTTCGACCGAATCTTCTCGTCGTCGTGGCTATTTTCCCTGCTGCAGCTGCCCCTGCCGCCGCTGGGCTCGCTTCCCCGGCCCCTGCCCGCCGTCCCGTCCCTAACCCCGCCCAAGGTAACGAGCTTCTGAGGGAGGGTCAGGCCTCGCCGGGGCCTCGGCCTAGAGTTGAGACGGAGCCCGGGAGCCCGGGCGCCGGCCTCGCAGCGGGGTCCCGGCGCGGGCGGTCCGTGGAGCCGGCTGCTCGGGCGCCCCGAGTGGGCGACCCTGGCCGGCGGGGAGGCTTCTGCGGGCCGAGGCGGCGAACGTGGCCGTCCTGGGGAACCCGTCGGGTGGGGGAGACGCCCGCGCCCTTCCGAAGAGGTCCACTGTGAGGAAGCTGGGCTCCGCCGTTTCCATGGGAGCTGATGCTTTGAGTTTCCTGGTCTGACATGATGGACAGGATTATGGCGGGCTTTGGAGTGCTGGGTGACCGGGAGGAGAGGTTCCCTGCCTTGTTTGAACCTTTCGGACTGGAAGCGTCTCTCCGGATTCCAGGCTTCCGGTGGACAGGAGTGTTCGGGACATGGTCCCCAGGGGACCCGTATGTTTCCGTGCACTCTAAGGGAGGGTTTAGCTGTGTCTCACTTTGTAGGACGCTGAGCTGAGTTTGTCGAAAGGCGGATTTCTAAGATTACCTATATGTGAACAGTGTGTGTTTTGGGGAACTACGCACACTTACAGTTGAATGGTAAAGAAAGGGATTTGTGTAGTTCCATCTGACTTTGGAAGTCCGTGCTAATTTTTCTAATTTTTGACTTCTCCAGCTTTTAAGAAGTACGTCGAAGTTTTCATTGTTGAACCCCACACTGCCTTCCTAGTTCAAAGAAATCACTTTTTTTTTTCTTGTAGCATACTGTTTGGGAGATCCTTTTGTATAAAATTTATCTGACGTCGTTATGATTTATTGCTTTGAAGTTTGTGGATTAGCTAAATCTGAAGAAAGTAAAAATGAATAAAACTTCGAGTTGGGAACAAAAGTGATTAACTTAGGCAAGTTAGAGGAACTTTTTTTTTTTTTGGTTTTTCGAGAAAGGGTTTCTCTGTGGCTTTGGAGCCTGTCCTGGAACTAGCTCTATAGACCAGGCTGGTCTCGAACTCAAAGAGATCCGAGTGCTGGGATTAAAGGCGTGTGCCACCATCGCCCAGCTAGAGGAACATTTTTGTAGCTCGATATTTGACTTAGTTTTTGTATGGTCTTTGCTTTTCATTTTTCTCAGATGTCCGAGGATCTAGCAAAACAGTTGGCTAGCTACAAAGCCCAACTCCAGCAAGTAGAAGCTGCTCTGTCTGGAAACGGAGAAAATGAAGATCTGTTGAAATTGAAGAAGGACTTGCAAGTAAGTATAGGTAGACTGTTGTAGCTGATGCTGTTTGAGAAAGTATTTGTCTTTTTTCAAGAAGGCACTCAAAGCACCTATGAAGATGCTCCCTATTTGTGTAATATATGTACACCTGTATACAGACACCGAGGCTTCTAAATTTGCTTCCTCCATTTGGTGTACATCAAAATGAATGAAACACTCATGGGTTTGTAAATCTTCTGTGTGCTTTTAGGATTTCATGATAAGAAGCCTTGCAGCGGTTTAATTTTTTTTAACGCGTTGGTGAGGAAAAGTAGTTGGAAAGCTAATACTATTAGAGGGGGAAATTATCACCAGATTAAGGTCCTTTTTGATGACACAGGATTATTTGAAAATGAAATGTGGCCCTATTTTTCAACACTCATGGAGTATACGTTTTATAAAAACACATCATGATGTGTTTACACAAAATGTGTAAAGAAATAACTGGGTGGGTGGGTGGGTGTTATGTAAGTGTTTGAACTGAAGACTCGATTTTGTAGTTGTTGAGCCTTGTCTAAGTTGGACTGGTGTGAAAAGGCGATCTAACTTTTCATGGAAGATAGGAAGTATAAAACTTGGAAGGACATGTCCCGAAGGGCTTTGGGACAAACTCAGTCTCTGTTGCTTCTCAGAATACCAGGTTAAGAAAAATACTGTATATATTTTGTAAATATTCTATATTAAAATTTTGATCTAAAAATACTCATAAATTTTTGAGCCTTGAGAGGGCTTAATAGATTTGGGATTCTGAAAGATCTCATTTGTAATTTAAAATGACTTGGACATTTTCAAACTCTGATTCTAAACTTTAAATAGTGTAAATGTTGTTTTTTAAAACAAACTATGTTGGATAATTTTACTTTAATAAGACTCTCCTTTGGTTATAGAAGCCAGGCCAGTGGGGTGCATGTGCCCTTCAGTAAGAAGAGGTGTTTAGAAGACACTTGCTCACACTCCCAGGGCCTCTGTAAACATAACCCAAGTGCTTCCTGCCTGCTCCTTTGATTTGCTCACCTGTACCGAGTATGAGTTGACACTGAAGGGACAGAGGCACACTAACCTGCCCCTTCAGCAGAGGCCGATGTCAAAACAGTCCTGTCTCTTGGAAGAACACTTGTGTGCTGCTGGGCACTGGGTGCTCTGTGAAGAACTGGTAGACGGAGAGGTGGGAGTTGAGTCTCTAGCAGCATTACCACCAGGTCTTTTTTAATGTTTCCAGGGTAAATTAGAGTATGGGGTCAGCTATTTTGATATGAAAGTCTATAGCAGAAAGTATGTAGGGAGAAACCATTAGGGTAGAAATAGTATTTACCGGAAAGGCTTACCAAGGGCTCAGTTAATAATAATAATAATAATGATCTGGAGGCTGAGGCTGTAACTGCTTACAATAAAAAAATATCCTATGGTTCAATTCCCAGCACTGCAGGGAGAAAAAGTCAATAAAATACAAAAAACAAATCAAGCAGATTTCTGTGTGTTTGAGCCAACTTTGTCTACCTAGCGGGTTCCATGCCAGCTATGGTGACATAGTGAGACTGTCTCAATTTAAAAAAGGAAAAAGGCAAAGCAATAATGACTTTGAAGTCATATATCTGCGAAAGTATCCTCTTTTCTATATAGCCAGTTAGAACAGCACTGTCTGGTATGGTGACTGTGTTCTTTGCTGTTCATTGCCACTTACAGCTACTAACCATACGTAGCTGCTGAGTAATTGAAATATGGCCAGGGAAACTGAGGAGACAATTTTTTTGTTTTAAATAACTACAGTTTATTAAATATTGGATGTTGCAGATTTAGAAGCTTAAGTACTGATAATACCATAAATATTGACAGGATAGAATTCTTTATTTGGCTAGTCTTCATAAGTTTTTGTTTTTTTCCCCTCTTATTTCATTATGAGAGGTTTGATTTTGGTTACTAGGTATGGTTTGAACTGAAAACTATTGGAAGATAGAAGTTACCACTTAAGATTAGGTAAAATTATGAAAAATATTTGAATATATGCTTCCAGTCTGGTTGTTTGCATTGAAACTAGGAACTAGCTTCTGTTTGGTAGAGGTCTCCCTCCACCCACTTGCTGCTTTTAGGGTCATCCTTCTTGTTATTTAAATCTTGTTTGGTTGGGTTGATTTTTTTTTTTTTTTTAAAGCCTGTGGCTTCTATGTTTTCTTTTGGGGTGGGGCTATCATAGTGGCTTCTAATTCCTATGTTTATTTTTTCAGTAAGGTTTCCATGTTTCTGTCTTTCATATAGAATAAAAAATTCTTTTTTTATTTAGAAGAGAAATAGGTATAGTAAAATCAGATTAGCGAGCTCTTTCATTCCCCAGGTAGTCTATAGTAATCACAAAACTAGTCAATTTATTAGGCTGTGTTGCTGAGTAAACTGTTGTAAAGGAGGCAAGGGTCAAGTCACTTGTCTCATATATTACAGTGGCTCTCAGCATCCCCGAAACGCCTTCCTTCAGGAAGCAGAGTGCTTGAGTGCACCCCCTTTGACCTGCTGATATGTAGATCACAACACCTGATGCTTCTTGGAATTGCCGATTACTGTAACTGCTGCCCATCTGTCAATGAAGGAGCAGTTTCAGAACTCAGACTTGGGGGAGGAAAAGTAATTAATGGTATGTACCTTCAAGGACCCCTCATATATAAACCAGCTTCTTTAACACTTTGGTCCATACACATGTGAAGACAGACTGAGGTTCATTATGAATTACTGGGAGGGACGTGTAAGATGACAAGAGTTCCGGGACTTTAGAAGTAAATGCCCTGGATTTTCTTGTTTATAAGAAAGGCCATTGTGGCACAGGGTTTTGAAAATTATGCATAGTTTTTCAGGATTCTTTTCTTTGAAAGTGGTGGGGAAATAAATGTTCTGTCAAACCTGAGACTTCTTACCAGAGGTAGAATGCATGTTTGTGCTTTAATTACATGATCCCTGGAAGGAGATGCGAGTATTTAATGATAAAGACTTTGTGGGCTCTTGAGTCAGGGCTGTTGGTTTGTATTCCAGGCTCTAAAGGTGGTTAACTGAGAACAAAATTGGGTAATTAAATATTTGAAGGCACTTACATGATTTGCACAGGACCCTAGGTTCAGTCTCGAGTGCTGCAGGACTAATGAATATAAAGCTAGGCGTCACCTCCTTAGGGGCGGGTTCTATTGGGTTTCAGCTCAAATCCAAGTCTTAGTAGCTTTTTTAAATTCACAAACTGACCTTTCTCCGGGTACTTAATATTCTTTGTCTGTCTGTCTGTCTGTCTGTCTGTCTGTCTGTCTATCTATCTATCTATCTATATTTTTGGTTCAAGTATTGATTTTTTAGAAGTAGCCAGGAAGATTTAGAGTCTTTAGGAGAGGTAATAATTTAACTTTTCTTGGCTATTGAACCAAAACAATTATTAACGAAGCCTCATTGGATGCCTGAAAAAACTAGGAGTTTGCTTTTG